TTCGAGCGGCGCGTCGCGGAGGTGGTGGCGCTCCTGGCAGCCTCGGCGGCCCAGCCGCAGGCGCTGGGGAAGTGGGCGTTCTGGACGCAGCTGCGCGCGGCAAAATTCAACCAGAGCGGGGCGTTAGGACCCGGCAGCGTCGCAGAGAATGCGGTCGACGAGTACGAGAAGGCGCTCGTGTGGGCGGGGATGATGATGGCCCTGCACGCGAAGACGGCAGATGCCAGAGAGGGCATGGGTGCGTTTGTCGAAAAGCGGTCTCCAACATGGGTAACGTAATGCAGAATAAATATGGATGGCATTACCTGTCATATTTCTCGTGCTTCCCAGACAACATAACCTATGGCCATAAAACCGACCCTGCCAAGGTAAAGGCATACTACCAGACCAGAAGTTGAAGGAATAAACTTGGTCGATAAAATATGATAAAGTGATACAAGAGAGAAACGCCCGCTAAAAGACACATGCATCTTAGCTTAGGTCTTGGCATATATCTTATAGGAAAGTTTATATTTAAATATTAAAACAACTCGTAAAGTAATAAGTCATCTCTATCCTTCTGTTTCAGTATTCCCGTCGACTTCATCATCCAGTTCCGGAAACTCTGCGGCGAGAAGATTTACAGATCGAGACGACGTGACAACGGAGCCGTAGCCATTTGGTCTCGACGCTGTCTCCAAATCGCCGTTGATCGGGACATCCTTTTCAAATCCCTTTAAAATGGATTAAGACACCAACCGGAGAAAACCCAACCCAACCCTCCCTTCCCAAAGAGCTACCCTCCGGCTAGGGCATCTCCCGCTCCGATGCTTCTGAGGATTTGTGAGAATGAAAAACAACAAAACTACCTAGCTCAGAAGCAGGGGAGAGGCGAAGCGGGGGATAAGAGAGAACCCGAGGCTCTTAGATGAGAGCAACGATGGCAGCAACGATGGCGGCGGCGACTCCGGCACCACGGAAGCTGGAAGAAGCGCCAGAGGTGACGGGGTATCCGGTGCCCTCGGGGGCGGTGGTCTCAACGGCGCTGGTGGGGTAGACGCCTCCGGTGGAGTATATCGGGTAGGTGGCGGCCGGTGTGGATACGGGGTAAGGGGCGACGGTGAAGCCGGGCAGGCCGGTCTCCACCGGGGCGCTGGAGTAAGGGGGGATCACCGGGTAGGACGACCCGGATGGGTACGAAGAGCCGGCCGGGTAGGTGGGAGCCGCCGGGTACGAGGACTCAGCCGTGGGGTAAGGGTACACGGTGGTGCTGATGGGGTAGGTGACGACCGTGGTGGTCGCACCCTCCTCACAGGAGGAGGTCACGGTGGAGTAGCCCCAGATGGTGCTGGTGCTATAGCTCGGAGGAGCAGAGTACCAGGAGGAAGAGAATGGGGGCGCAGGGCTATTTGAAATCACATTCACAAGGTCAGCGGCAGCTCCAGCAATTGTCCTTTACGGCTACTTTTTCACAAGGGAAATAGGGGGGCGGAATCCTCACAATGAAGAGCCGGAAGGGCCGGGAGGACCAGAGTGGTGAGGTCCGCCGGGGTGATGAGGAGGCGGGCTTGGCTTCGGCTGGTGAGGAGGCCCGCCGGGACCGCCAGGACCGCTAGGCCCACTAGGCCCGCCAGGACCGCCAGGACCGCCAGGACCGCCAGGACCGCCAGGACCGGTAGGCCCGCCAGGACCACCGGGACCACCGGGACCTCCAGGACCGCCAGGACCGCCAGGACCTCCTGGACCTCCTGGACCGCCTGAGCCACCCTCAGTGGTTGCCACGACGGCGCCGGCAAGAGCCAGGAGGGAAAAAACGGTGACCTTCATTGTTTCTGTGGTATTAACGAAAGAATAGGTAATCTAGAAGACACCAAGGTCGACGAAGCAAACAAAAGACACAAGGTGGCCGGGGAAAAAAAACGAATGTGGTGCGAGTAAGATGCTTTAATGAGCGACGGGTTATAAAGAGCGTGACGCGCAGAGCCCTGACTATGGAAGTCTCGGATCACAGGAAATAGAGCACAGGAGGCAGGAGATCAGAGTTCAGACGAATGGCCCGGGAACTTGCAGTGATTCTTATAGTGATAAGGGCACAATATAAGCAATATGCAATTTCAGCGCCTCAGATATGGGCGGTACAGGCTCAGAAACGGCAAGTCATCAACCTTCGGCCGAGCCAATGAGCCCCGGCTATGATTCCGGAAGGGTAAGGTCGCGGAGCGCCGTCGGGAGGCCCAAGGGGGGGAGCTGGGCGAGGCGTATAGAGCCAAGACCCCATTCGGCAGTGGGGGTTTAATACCCATGAGTGCTGGCCACGGGGCCCCCTCGGTAGCCTATGTCGGTGGCATGGTTTTGGAATTAATGCAAACATAGTGGCTTCTCTCTCGGAAAGTCTAACTCATGCCCGAATGGTGCAAACGGGTTAGAGTGTTTCGATGTCACCCTCCGCAACGAGAAACACAACCGACCCTGTTCCTGCATGAGGTCCAGGGGGGTCGAGCTTAAATGCTGCGTGTGGGTGTGAGGCCCAGCAAATCAAGCAGCCTTCTCGACTACCCTCCGCTCCACTACTCTTTGCTGCAAAAGGCAAGCACTGGCGTTTCAGGGGACCCCGGTCAATTCAATTTTGGCCTATAGCTTCTGTGAGATGACCAAATCACACCTAAAAGTGTCGACATAGCTGCAGTATACATTGACTGGCTGATCGAGCCCAGCTTATGTGCTCCAACTCTATCGTTGGGGTGGGTGTGATCAATACTCCGACCGTCCATCAACCCGCGCCCCTTTGACAACCTCCACCCAGGCTCAAAATCTTTCTGCAGGTTCGTACCATCTGAACGAGCCGGTGGGACGGCACCAGGCGCATCGGAATGGTTTGACAGCGGATGTGCTAATTTCCATACCCTCGAACCACACCAACAGCACGTGAAACTATAGTCATCTCCACATGCCACGACCATGCCAGAAATCGTTTCATTACTGATACACAAAGTCCTCGTCAAGTCAATAGCGATGTCGATCTTATCGATTCGATGATCTAACGTATTTCCTCCAAAGGCTATTTGTAATGGCCGGCCACCAGAAGTTTATTTTCCCCCGCAAAGGACATCTCCCCTAGGCCCTTTCACAAGGGTCGGAGCAGTCGATGCAGGTTGGCCCTCGGAAATTTCGGTCAAGAGTTGGATGATCCAGTGGTGGTGGTGGTCTTATTGGACGATTATTTTTGAGATAATTGTTCAACATTGAACACTGATCAGAGTCGGTATGTAGCGGCATCATGTAACGTTCGTTCAAGATCTGAGCCGTAATGCCGAATGAAGTACGGAGTGCTCACGAGGCTCTTGGGTCGTAATTTTGACCGAGTTTGTCAAGCACCGTAGAGCAGGTGCGCGCAGATTAAGCATGTCGCTTAAAGCGCATTCTACCAATCCAACACCTCCCGCGGCTTCTGATCGATCTTCAATTCTTTCTTCTCAGGTGCCCCCGAACCCTGAGCCTCGGAAGGCGACGACAAGACTGCACGGTCGACCCCCCACCTTGTAATTTCTACTTCAACGAGAGAGGTCCACTTGGATATGAGAGGGTGAGCTTTGGCAACATCTTCAAAGATAATGTCCTCCTGGCCTTCGGTGCCGATTTCGTATTTCCACGTGCCGTTGGGAGCCCAGTATTGCTGGTCAAATATCCTCTCGGTGCTTAACTCTCCACTTGCTAATGCAAAGAGTTCATTAATACGACGGTGCTCATCAGGGTTGCTGGTTCGGATGGCACTGCCTAGTCCCTCCAAGAAGCCAAGGAGCTGTCCGGCCGCCAGTCCGATCGTGGCTCCTAGGCCGTAACCCTCATCAAATCCAGCCTGAATGCTTTTCCCCTTAGCAACTACAACACCATCACGGTAGCCAGCAGTGGCATGTTCTGCCTGCAGCCGCGGAATATCTGACGGGTGCGATTCTCGGGCGCCCCCCGCTTGGTCGCCGTGCCCAAACGCGGGGCTCTCGGAATCCGAACCAAAAACATCGTCCAGCGGATCCTCAGTCACCACGGGCTGAGTCGCAGAAATCATTTGGATCATCAAGTCCTCGTCGCGAGGTTCTTGCGGTGCCATGTGCATCTTGTGATGCTTTATTACCAATATTGCTGTGATGGAGGGCGGGATTGTCTATTTGTAATGTGAACGGAAATTTTCTGTCTAAAGCAAGACACGAAACAGTGTGTGCATTAGTAATCTAGACACTAAATAGCACTGTACTAAATCCACACGATGAGCTTCTATGCTCAGCCCAATACTGTGAACCATACAAACCAGTCGCAGCTACAATTGGTGAAGCTAAGCCATTCTTGCCTTTGAGCCTCCACCTTCCATTCGCTATAACCATATGATAACAAGCAATAGGAACGTGGTGATAATCTGTCTCCAACAGTATCGCTACTATCATCATCCTATCTTGTAAGCAAAATTGACGAAGGCTTTTTCTTATTTTATCACAAATATGTATCCAAATAAGAGCGACTTAAGCATGGACAGGTTCAGTCGGCCTTGTTCCGTGAAGTGCTTTAGAGACGAGCAGAATAGCCATCAATTTTTCGTCTTCAACAACAATTTTCGTTTTACTTCAGGGATGATTTGCTGTTGCTCAAAGTCCCGAGTGTGCAAGAAAGCCCTCTTCAGTCTCGTAAAACGGTGGAGACAACCTGTCCTTGTTTGCTGTCTGACACGACCCGAGGGAATAACATAGTTCTTACTTGAATGGTAAATACGAAAGAACTTTGAAATGCACATCACCTCTTTGTATCTATACCAACCGAAAAATAACTCGCAGAGTTACTTTAAGAACCATCGTCGAACGAGGCTTATGTGGACGCTCAAGTTCGCAAAATAGTCCTATACAACTCAATGTAGCTCTCGTTGATCGGCATATGGTATGCAAACCGGCCATGGGAGACTCTTGCCGTTTATTATTGGATACTGTGATACTAGGCAACGAGGTAAAAAGGAAAAAAACAAATGAGAAAGACATCATAACTCCTTCGGGGATTCGAACCCCGGACCCTCGGCTTCGGAGACCGATGAGCTAACCACTGCTCCAAAGGAGCGGCTTGACAGAATGGGCTCGATACTGCTTATTTGAAAAAGGTACCATCAAACGGAACCGATCTGAGTGAATGACCTCACGTGCTACTATCACGAGATTCAGGTGTGCGTCGGCGGGAGTGAATGGAAGGGGCAGCCTATGGCTGTGGCTTCCCCGGGAGAATACGTCGCAGTGCGAACGGATAACGTACTGAACATCCCATGTAGTCGTGAAATAGTTTACCTCCATTCCTTTTTGTGATTGATGTCTTTTGCTAAAGTGAGAGCAGAGAAGATTCGACAACAAAAAGTTTTGTAACATCAGCAGTATTGATATTCCGAAAGAACTGTTTGGAGGAAGCGAGCGAATCATGTCCAAGAATGCAGATAGCATGTTTGGCCAACATTTCCAGCGTACTCTGTGGAACCGAGCCTAGAGCTGCCGATCTACCAGTACTAGATCTCTGCAAGCGAGCATCAGATCAGACTGTCCCAGATTCAATAGATTGTTCACTGCAAGCTACTGTCGCTTACTCCAGCAAGAAGGGGGGGCAGTAAGGGTGGGAATGAACAAAGCAACCTTTTCTGTTGTAGTTGTCCTCCTTTAGATACCACCATGTTTCCTACATAGTAACACTGGCCCAATAGTGCAGCAACACGGCCGGCCGGGCTCCGGCTAAGAACCCTCCCCTCACAGCCGAACGCGGTAATGAATGCGGCCTGGGCAGACCCCAGATCCGAGGGCTGACATGCTATGGAGATGCTTGATAATTGGGTTGCATCCACCAGCAGATGAACTCATTACCCCACTCGGGACCTTTGCCGGCATTTCACTATCGGGAGATGTCGCCAAGAGTCACCCCAAGTGAAGAGTAAGCATAGCGAGATGAAAATTTGATTGCTAACGTTATTTCTTGTGCTAGAGCAGGATCTGCCAGTAATCCAAAAGAGGAAGGTCAGATACGGTGAACCGTGACGCTTATTCTGAAGTGATTCCCAGTTTGCTTCCCACAGGCCTATCGACAAGTACTCTGCATATCTGCTGCAACCGCTAACTTAGCCTAGAAAACATCCTTGCTTTCGTTGGAGCAATGACGGCCTCGATACTCTACCTATGATGTATTGGATCAGTCATGCATATATACGTGAATGGCTGCGCATGCTTCTTTGTGCCCAGCGCTGGATGTTCACTGTCAATCTAGTAACTAGGAAACGTACTGCATCTATAGAATATACATACATATATATACACCTAGGTATACAGTGAAGTAAACTTGGGTCACAACTTCATCACGCGGCTACAACACGAACAGCCCGCTTAAGTACATCGATGCACAACGTATTATCATGGTGTTCTTGAGGTTATTCACAACTCTCGGGTTGGTGGCACTCCTAGGCTTCGCCCATGCACAATGCACCAACTCCAGCACCTCAATTGATGGGAAACCATTTCCTCCCCTTATCGAGGCAACACTGGAGGATCTAGTGTCGGGACTCGAGTCCGGGCTCTTCACCAGCGTCGATCTTGTCAACGCCTACAGCGCTCGCATAATTGAGGTGAACTCGACTCTCCGCATGGTCACGGAGCTAAATCCCGACGCCCTATCCATTGCTGCGGAGGCGGACGCGCTCCGAGCTAATGGGACGGTGCTTGGTCCGCTTCATGGGATTCCGCTGTTGCTGAAGAATAACATCGCAACGGATGATGGCATGCCCAACACGGCAGGCTCGTACTCTCTTCTAGGTGCCAAGGTGCCCCAGGATAGCACCATCGCGGCGAAGCTCAGGAAGGCGGGTGTCGTCCTCCTAGGCAAGACTAATCTGTCGCAATGGGCAAACTACCGTAGTGATAATACTAGCAACGGCTGGTCGGCGTACGGCGGGCAGACGCAGGCTGCCTACTATCCGCTGCAGGACCCGTCTGGATCCAGCTCGGGTAGCGGCGTTGCGAGCTCTCTTGGGCTCGCACTCGCCGCTCTGGGCACCGAGACGGATGGATCGATTGTGTCACCATCGAGTGTAAACAATCTGGTAGGGATCAAACCCACCATGGGGCTCACATCAAGATACTTGGTAGTTCCGATCTCTCAGCACCAAGATACCGTGGGGCCGATGGCCAGAAATGTTAAGGATGCAGCGTACATTCTATCAGCCATCGCTGGTAAAGATCCCAAAGATAACTACACAAGTGCTATCCCCTTTGATACGATCCCGGACTACGCTGCGGCTTGTGATTACTTTGCGCTCTCTGGCAAGCGCATAGGCGTCCCCCGCAACCTGTTCGACATAACCGGACAGGAGGAACACTACGGAGCCCAGGTTGCAGCCTTCAACGCCTCCCTAGACGTGTTTAGAGCCGCCGGCGCCGAAGTGGTCGACGATCTCCACCTTCCTGGCTGGGATACGCTGGCTACTTCCAACTTCGAGAACGTCGTGCTCATGGCCGATTTTCTCACCAACGTCGCCACCTACTTCGCCGAGCTCACTTTTAACCCCAACAACATCACGTCGCTAGCGGAGCTGCAGCAGTTTACGCATAACTTCCCGCTGGAGGACTGGCCGGAGCGCGACACGCTGATCTGGCAGGGGGCGCTCGACCTAGGCTTCGATAACACAAGCCCCGAGTTCTGGTCAAACTACACCGCGGACCTGTATTATGGTGGGCCGCTGGGGATCACGGGGGCGCTGGCTAACTACTCACTCGATGCCCTGGTGATGCCTACGACCTTCTCAACCACCATGCCGGCCATCATCGGCGCGCCCATCGTCACCGTCCCGCTGGGACGGTATCCGGACGACCAGGTCGTGATCCCAAACTCCTTTGGCAACCTCGTCGACACAGCGCCCAACGTACCCTTCGGCATCGCCTTCCTGGCTGAGCGTTTCAGCGAGGAGAAGCTGATCGGCTTCGCGTACGCCTTCGAACAACGAACTAAAGTGAGGAACTCCATCACTCCGTACATCCAGCCGACTACGGAGCTAGCCGACGTTGTGGGGAAGGCATAGAAAAGGGGGAGTAGTGAGGGATGTGCTCTTTCAAGGCTCTTTAACGACGAGCTGCAACTCGCTTTCTTTTGTTTTGGTTTTGGTGTTTAGATCGGAGGGTTGTCAGTCGCTAGAAGGAGGAAATGAAGGCTGAATTTTAAATAATGTGTAGTCTAGCCATTTTGAAGATACAGGTCCATTATACCACATCAAGGCTCGCATACCTCCTGTCCACTTGTTGATGGTAAGACGACAAAGGTGTCTACACTACCCGTGTCAATGTAAGAGTGTCAAATCTTCAATTCTCGTATAGGTTGTTGGGAAAACTCAAGAAGGGCTGAAAAACTATTCAAAGAGCAGTTGTCAACCTTTTCGGTTATCCTCGTCCAACGGAAGAGAGCCACACATATAAATGAATATTAAAACGTTCCTCCATGTTATATACAACAGGTTGTTATGGAGTTATGCTCGTCTCGTTAACCCGTATCTTCATCAGTCTTGGCCTATTTCGCTTCCTTGCGAATCGAGGTTGTTGACATTCCATGTTTCCTTTTCCATAGCTGCCATATATTATTTCTGAGAGGGCTGCTCCTTGACGGACTCTTCCCCTAGAACCTTGCTAGCAGCCATGAACCTGAGCGGTGGGTCAGTTCAGAATTTTTGTTAAGAGGCTCTAAAGCACTTGTGGGGAGAGAAATAGAAGAAGAAGATTTCACTGACATCCCGCCGTGCCAGCTACCCAGTCCTCGCATAGCTTCTGCTTGGACCGCTGTCATACGTAACAGATTCTCCGTATCTGAAAGATTCTGTGACAGTTGTGCAAGTTGGGAGTGGAGGTGCGCCTGTTAAGTCTCCTCTTATTAATACTGACAGTCCACGTATTCAAGCGAAACTTGACAACCTCGAGTGTATGTTTCGCGGTTCGTCCAATAACTGACCAGTTGTCTCGACTTAGAGGTGCTGCTCTGCGGTGCCATGGATGGCCTAGCCATGCCACTGCCAGCATTTATGTTCCTGCTTCCCATATCTCCTTTTCTCTGCAAGTCGATCTCTACGTCTTTTTAGGCAGTTGTTGCCGGTTCATGCAAAGACAGCTCACCCAGCATCAAGCGCCGCCGTGTGGTACGCGAAGGGGTAATAAATAGTAAATAGGTCTTGAAAGACGACGCGTCAACTAGAGGGCACCGGAGTGGGACACCACGAGTTGCGTGTCACTGGGAATAGGACCAATTCTTCCTTTTCAAGGAAAGAGAAATAGCAGGAGCTTTATCGAAGTCTTCCGTTACAGCTTGGGTATTTTGGGCCTGATCTGTTTTGATATGATCCTTCAAGACATTATTTTGAAAGCGGGGCTGGCCGGCACTTGGAGCACGAAACAAAAGGCAGCGACTAATGTACAGTATAATACAGTGCATACCGGACTGTACTCGTTCTTTGATTGAAGAAATACATAGACAGGATAGAAGGTTACCTAAGTATGTACATACAGCGCAATTGCGTGCCATAAGATATTTACCACACCGTAGTCTCACTCATTGGTCAAGAAACGCATGCCTGGAAATATACGCGAAAGGCTGCTGGCTGGAAAACGCTGCCACACGTAATTAGACGCGATATGAAGTAGTTTGGCGTAGTGGCGTGCGTGTGCCATCCATTTATTGCTCCAATACCCCTCTCGCTGCACAATAGAGCATGAAACAGAAACATGGCTCGAATGCTACCAGCTCTCAAGTCTCCCCTAGCCGCGATCTGACATATTGAAGACCCTTCCTTACCCCTGTTAATCATCCCATTCCTGGCTTTGCAAGTTGATGTTGACGGTAGAGGGCTAGGTATGGTTACAGCATTGATGTCATGATTGGGTAAGCAAACCTCAACGTTACAGTGAGTAAGTATCCTGGTGCTTATGATTTATTCACACATATGGCATCTGAAAACTTCCCACCCAGCGTGTTTGTTAATATTGGCTCTGAGTTTCTTGACGCCAAGATAAATATTTTGCTCCTGCAGTTGGGGGACGTTTTACAAAGAAGTTTGC